ACTCACCTTCCTTTCTAGCATGCCCCCTACTCCTTGCCCTTCTCCCTCCTCTACCTGCACACCCACCCCCTTGTCTTCTACCTACAGCCTACCAGCTCCCCATCATGCACTGACCGCCTCCTGAGGACCATGCGCCCATCTGACATCGGTACCTCCCTGCGCCTCCCCACAGAGCCACTGCCTGTCTGCCTCACCTACGGTCACTCACCCAGAGCCCCTGCTCCACCCCGCCTGCCTCTCTCTCGTTCTTTCTTAGCCTGCTCCGTGCTGGAGTGCAGGCTAAGGAGATGCAGGGCACAAAGGGGTTAAACAGAAATTTCAGCCTCTAAACACACCTTTCAGGTACACATGACAGGCACAGAGAGCAAGTCATAAAAGCAAAGCCATCTCCATTGGAGGAATTTGAGCAGAAAGCACTTAAGGACCTTTTCCAAACTCCCCTGCTTCACCCACCAAAGTGACTGTGACATCTCACCCTTAAGGGGAAGGGATGTCACAGTGACCTTCCCCAAGCGTTCCATAAGGTCACGCAGGAGGATACTGCTCAAAGCACACTCCATGTACAGGCACAAGAAGACAGACATCGATTGACTGGTCACTTAATTGCTATTAAGAAATCCCCTATTTCTAAACTGTCTTTTCCATGGCTCTTTCAGATCCACGCGTGACAAACACAATTTCTGTCCTCAATTATTTGGGCTTTTTGTCGAGCAAAGTGTTACCCAACATCTCTCAATCTAGCCACAACTAAAAGGTATACCAGGAGTGAGAAGTGTGTGGGACATCATCTGAAGGTGGGATATTTTATCACCCTATGCAGCAGGTTCTCTAGAAGACTTCTATTTTAGATGCTGGAAAGAAACCAGAATAATCTCGGCTTTGGAACAAAAAGCACGTACAGGTGTAACATCCTGACAGGACACAGGTTTTGGGAGAAAACGATATATAAAAATTAAACAAAACACTCCTTTACAGGTTGCCTGTGAATTCAGCATTCAAGTGACCAAGCCACAACATCAAATAGAGACCTTCAGGCTAGTTCTTCATGGAATGATACAAAACCCACCCGGACCAAGGATACACTGAGAAATCAGTCCATATTCTTCCAAACCCTGTCTGAACTGCATATAAACCAAAGGCACCTTTTTGACAATCCTGATCAGAGTTAAGAACTTGAAATAAAATGAGATAACATGATTTTATTTTAGGTTCTGTGTAACTCCAGTATCTGTGGGTCACTATCTCCCCAGGGGGGAAAAAAAAAAAAACTTACCTGTAAACAGTGCTGGGCCTAACAAGAGCTCCATGTTCTCTTCCAAACTCATGATTCAGAACTGGTTATCATCTTGTTTAGAAATGAAATGACATTTAAAACAACCTGTTAGCCACAGCCTCTCCTTCCATACTAGGATTAAGTGAATGTGGTAATGCTGCATAGTCACTGGCTGTGTCATTCTCTCTATGGAACTGAAGATGACTACAAGTAAAACTATACTGGAGGTACCACTTCTCTGATACGTTCTGTTCCTGACCATGTGAAAGTTTCATTTGTAATGCATTTTCTCTATGGGAAAAAGTAAAAATCATAGCATGGTGATAATTCTGGCGTTGAGCAGCGGAGAGATGAGTATCGTGGCAGAGAGGATTGTGCCTGAAGCAGGGTTGTGTTTTGCCTCTGTTAGCTATGTGGCTGAACAGCACAGCAGCTCCTTTTGCATTCACTGGAGGCAGAGTTCATCAGATTGATTCCTGAAGGCTAGCTCCTCACAGCTGGCATAGCCACCCACTGACCAAGCAACCCACCAGCCAGGTACACGTGGAATGTCTCAGTTAGAAATACAGAAACATCAACGAACAAACCAGAGCCAGCTTGGCTCTGCTGTAGACAAGATATCCTGTCTCCTGACCAGCAGCCTAACTGAGGTCATATTTTTCATTTGGAAAGCAGTCCTGGATTACTATCAATTCCACTTACTGAAAATTCTGTTAATCTAATGGGGAGGGGGAAAAAAATTAAAAAAGGAGGAAAATTACCACTAATGATAATCTTAACAAGCTGACAACACAGTAAACAATTTTGATATATTTCCTAGGAGCAGCGAGATACCTGTGTTTTCCATTTGGTTGCACTAGTGCTATTATCAGATGTTGGGTATTGCCATTAGCTAACACAAACAGCTCTGGTGATGCAGTAGATGTGTCTCGTGTGCTTATTTAAGAATACGATGAGTAAATTCTGTTCTTAACCTATAACTTCTGCGATACTAATATTGGCACCTGGCCCACAAATCCAAAACTGATTCAGCAGACAAAGTTGGGGCTCCTTTACCTCTGCCATTCCCGACTGGCAGGAGACCAGAAAACCCACTTTGCAAGTAGTAGCAATGGATTTAGAAGGCACTAATCTTGGCATCAGTGATAAAAGGAAGTTGCTGGTGTGTCTACAAGAGAGGCAGCTCTCTCTAGGATAAAACGATCCTAAAGAAGAGTAAGAATGAATACAAGAGATGCCTGCAGCCTTGTCATCTCTGATGTGCACAACTCCTGGAAAACAGTAATGAATCTCCAAACAAATCAGGTTTTCTTTCAGCCAGAGAAGATCAGACCCACCAGCAGCACACAAGGATGCTACATGAAAAGCTGACAAAGCTGGGTTTGACTGCCTGCTGATCACTACATTTAATCTGTGTAGATCCCTGCCACAGGAATGAAATGGCTCACATCTGCCATTGTGGAACGCCTGTGAGGGCAGCTCCATGACACCTGCTCCATGGTACCCAGCACGGTGTTACCTGCTCCACACCTCAGAATGACAAGGTATGTGCCAGTGTGCATTAGATGGTCATGACAAGGGTGTTGGTCCTTCCCTCAAAGCCAAAGATGGCAGCGAGGGACTACACTGTATTTACTGAAACAACCTCCTCACATTTTATTCCAGCATCAGAACAGCAGCTTCCCTGCAGCTACAGACAAACATCAGGTAACCAAATGGCAGTAAACACAGCAACTAGGAGAAAATAAAACACTAAACAACCTGAATACCAAAAAAGCTCCCCCAAACAATAACAAAAAAATCCCACCAGAAAACCAACCAAAGAAAGCCAACAAACCAAAAAAGCCAAAATCATCATACCATGTTGGTCTTCAGGATCTTAGGAAGATGACTTTAACCATCTAACCATCTGTCAATAGCATATAATTACTCTCATCCACAACTCCACAGCAACATTGCACTCTGTAGGAGGGAGGTTCAGAAAGCCAAACAGGACTGTTATAAATGGACAGATGAAGCAAGGCAGAAAATTTAAGCTGTTGGCTCCTTCAGCTGCAGGAATTATCCTCTCCTCTACAGGTGAACAGGATCAAGCCCTACAGTTAATATTTAAATTAATACTTTATACTTAAGAAAGCATCAACCTTGATTTAAAGACAAAGTCATAATGAATGAGACAATGTCTTTGGTGGTGAACTGAACTACAGGTGATTTAGGCCAAACCTTTGCCACTAATGTACAAAAAATTCAATCATTGGTCTAGTAAACCCTGAAAGCGAGGCATCATTCTCCATCTGGTAAGAAATGTCTTATTTCACTGTGAGCCAGCTGTAAGCAAGGTGTAAGTGTACCTAGAAGGAAGGCATAGCAAGAAGTGGCCCTCCTGCTTAGAAGACAGAGGGGCAATGATGGTATTGTCAAGGACACAGACAAATTACAGAGTCAAAGGCAATGGTTTCTGCAGTGGCCATCTGTGGCTTCAGAGAGGCACTTGTGGAAGCACACTGTCAGGGTTTACAGCAAAACACAAAGAGTGTGGAAATTACTTACTGATGAGGCCTCATGCCAGGACTGGCTTGCCTAGTTCTAATGGTCTCCATCCAACAGTTTGTGCAACTTTGACAACTGAGGTATGAAGCAGATTGGGCTTCCAACCCTGCTGATCCCCTCAGGGTAAGGGGTGAAGTTTTGCTCATGGGAAAAGGAGATGAGATATTATATATCCTCCCTTGATCTGTTTTAGTTCTTTATCAGTTTTGTGCTTCTCTGCATAACCAGGATGTTCATTGCTGCTGTTCAACAGGCCATCAGGACACGCTCACCTACTCAATTTGGATCTCAGCCCACGAGCTCATTTTTATTAAATGGAAATTCTAAAAAAGTTTTATTCAGAAACTTAGAAAGGCGACATTGAAAGTTTTCAGTAATGTATGATAGGTTTGGTTCACTAACATAATACTAAATAATACATTCTATTATGCATTATGCAATCATACCAAAGACCTGTATTGGCCTAATCTCA